TATGCTTTTTCCAATGAGTAGCTTTCATATGTTTCAAATAAATATTTATGTTCATGTATTTTTTGGTCTTTTACTATGTTCCATTGAAATATATGCCTATCTCTCCATCAATATTACTCAATCTTTATTACTATATATTAATATTGAAATCAGGTAGAAAAATTTTTTCCTCTTCATTGTTCTTTTTTAAAATGATTTTAGCTACTCTAGTTTATTTTATTATAAAATTTTATATAATCTCAGCTATATGTACAATCTTTTTGGGATTTTGATCTGATGAGAAACAATGTATTTAGTATACTGACTCAATCAATGAACATAGTATATCTCCTCATTGATTCAGACTTATTTTTTTATAAGGATTTTCTTTTCCTCATATAGATCTTCTTAGATTATACAAAATGATGACCTTTTTGTCCTTGTAGAAAATATAAATAGTTCTATTTCAAATTTCAGGTTCCATATATTAATTTTTAGCATTCAGATATGACAGTGATTTTCAGGTTGATTTTTCATTCTTCTCATTCAGGTAACAAACATGTTTCTATTTTGTACTATTGAGACATACACTTTTTTTCCTGACTCTCAAGAGTTATTTTCAGCACTTTAAAATATTTTACTATGTCGTCTCTCTTATTGTGTCAATTTTACTTCTTTTAAGCATTTTCCCACTGTCATAGAGTGACATTTGGCCTAATCAAAATCTACCATTCTTATCCCTTGGCTTCCACTGACTCCATCCCAGTTGGATGAGGGTGTAAGTTCCTCATTAATTCTGGGTGGGGTAGAAATTTAGGTCCCCCCTTGGTTTCTCCTGGAGGTAGGATAGGAGGTGGGAGGCTTGTCTCCCTACCTGTTCTGTAGGATGATTGCGAAATGACTGGAAAGGCCTTGGCTAATGAGGACTAGCTGAGGCACTGCTTCTTCTGTCCTGCTTGCCTGGAGTAGGAATAGTTATTGCCGAAAAGTCTTCTGTCACCCTCCACTGTCCCTTTCCCCTTTAGCAAAGAGATATGAGTTTTATTGGGGTCCCAAGATTGCTCATTTCTTCATCCCCAATTCTGGGACTTTCATCTGAGTTGTTATATTTTGGATCTGAAACATCCCATTTCCAAGACATTTCCAAAGTCTTAAGTGTTGAAGTCTTGCTCTCCAATGCAGAAGTGTTCAGAGGTGAGTCATTGGAAAATGGCTGGATCATGAGGGCTCCAACCTCATCAGTCGGTTAATCCATTGATGAATTCTTAACTTAATGGGCTATTGGAACTTATTG